AGGAGGACAGAAGAGGCCGTTGGATCCCTTGGAACTGGAGTTAACCAGACACTTGTTAGCTGTCATGTGGATACTGGGATTTGAACTCAGGTCTTCTGCAAGAACAACCAGTGTTCTTAACACCTGAGCCATCTCTTCAGCCCTGATATTTCTTATTTTTTTAAAAAAGTTTGAAACCAATTTAAATCATTACTAAGCAATTATGTTGATAAAAGTGTTTATGAGCCCAAATCAGGTCAGTTCTGATTTCATTTTCTTAACTTTTTGATTTATTGAGAATTTCATACATATATGCAGTGTATTTTTACCTTATCTACCCCCCTCGCCACCCTCCAACTGCTCCTGAGTCCCACAAATACATCACCCTTCCCAATCCATGTTCTCTTTTTTAGATAAACAACTGGAGTTCAATCAGTGTTGCCCATATGCCCATGGGCGTGGGACCATCCACTGGAGCGTGGGCAACCTATCAGTGGCCATACCCCCAAAAGAGAAATGATTCTCCTTCCCCCAGTAGCCATCAGTTGCCAATAGCACCTCAGCTGGAGGTGGGGCCTTATGAGCTCCTCCCCATCCATGCTGGAATTTTGGCTGTCTTGATCTTGTGCAGGTCTTGTGCAGCTAACCACAGCTACTGTGAGTTCATGAGTGCAGTGGCTATGTCATGTCCAGAAGACGGCATTCCACAACTCTCCTTTCCCCAGCTCTAATAGTCTTTCTGCCTTCTCTTCCACAACATTTCCTGAGCCTTGGGAAAGGAGCAGTTGCTATAGATGTCTCATTAGGGCTGAGCACTCACAGTCACTTTGTCTATTAACTGCTGCCCACTGGAAAAAGAAGCTTCTCTGATTATGGTTGAGAGCAGCACCAATCAATGGGCATAAACATAAATAATTAGAAGGTAGTTTGGCAATGTGAACATTTAGCCAAACAACAATAGTGGTTCTTCCCCATAGGCCTCACATCTACTCACAAAGCAATTGGTTACCTCCACAACAGTCATGCCTCTATTATACCATTGGCACATCTTGTCTGGAAGGTCAGTTTTGTACCATACAGCATCCAGAGATAGGTAAGGCTGCTGACATCTGTTCTCTCCCTACAGCCTGCATAACACCTTCTGGCACTGTGAAAGTGAGCAAATAGGAAGTCGCCCAGCCAGATCCTGCAGCCTATGTCCTGCATCCAAAGTGGAGCACTTACATTTCAGTTTCAGAGTGTCTTTGGCCTGAAGATCTATTTGAATTAACAACAACAAAAAAGTAAGCAATTAGTTTTAGTTGAGAAGCTTAATCATATGTTCTCTTAAAATGGTAAACACTCATTAAAGCTGTTTTCATTGAGATGCATATTACACATATCGTTAGTCACAATTTAAAAAGCCTTTATTAAAATGCCTGACATAGACTTTTGGCCTCATATTCTGTCCCATGTATAATGTGTATGTAAAAAAACTATATGAATCCAATAAATGAGAATCAAGAGTCATACACATGAATTGGGGCTTCTTTTTGTTCTGTACTGTATCAAATGTTTCCTCTCTATTCCTGTAGATCATAGTTAACCTAGAAATATATAAAATAGAGCTAAAGTCATAAAATGTTCATACACACAGTCCCCCTGGAACACAGCTGTCAATTAGGCTCTTCACCAATTGTGTGGGTGAGATGTAGAACTGAAGTCTGGGATATTGTTTCATAGTTAGGTTGACCAACTGTGTTGAAAGAATGTGGAAGATGATTTTTGTTGGTTTACTTTAGAGTTCTTTATTTGGCCATATTATTTTATCAGTGATCCAAATATGCATAGATCGTCATGAAATCTCAAAAAAATAGTGAAATTGGATAATGATCAGGATTAAACCTGATATCTCTTAGCCCAGAAAAAAATTCATGTGGGTGTTAGGAACTGAACCTGTCTTCTAAAAGAGCAGCCAGTGCTCTTAAATGCTAAGCCATCTCTCCAGCCCCAGATTAATTTGTTTTGAGATAAAGTATTGATATATAGTCCTGGCTGACATGGAACTCACAATGTAGTCCTAGCGGTCTTCAGACTCATAGAGATACGCCTTCCTCTGCCCCCAGAGCTCTGGGATTAAAGGCATGCACCACCACATTGCCAAGAAAAGACTACATTTTTAAAAGGACAAATATCGGGCTCATTTAGAGTCTAAAATCAGTTCTAAGACCTCAGTATGGAAATACTAGTTCACCAACTATGGAAAACAACTTTAGCTCACTCAAATGACATCACAAAAAAATTACTGCTATGCTTGGGTTCATAAATGAACAAAGTTCAAATCAAAGAGGGTCAGAAACTAGAATTATAGCACACTGCACATAAAATGGTACAATTTGGGCCCCTGTAGGAGACACACTAAGATAGAATGACATCATTGGGTACAACTGGGACTCAGATGACCTTTAAGACACTTCCTAAAATTGATTGTAGAGTTTAAACTGAGTTTCCTGGCATTTATACATATGAATCTGCCAATATCTATTCAGCTTAGAAA